AAAAAAAAACAGGATATCATTCACACAGCGTCACATAACTTGGCCAACAACTAAAGTCTACCGTGTGTGTGAAAACACGAGACTGGCCAAAACAAAGCAGTCGAAAAATATGTGTGTATGTATGTGTGTGTGTGTGTGTGGAGGGGAAAACAAGCGGAACATATTTTTCACATGAACACCGCAAAACTATTGAAAATTACTATAAACAGCTTCGGCAAACGTATGCCATGGACTTGGCTGGCCATCAACAACAACAGCAACAACAACAGCAGCAGCAACAACAGCAACAACAACAACAACAACAGCAACAACAAGGATATTTGAAACCAAAACTGACCGCCACCCAGTCGATTTATGAGCGTCGATTTGGGCAAAAAAAAAAAAAAATCAGAAAAAATACATATATAGAATATATATGTAATAGACAAACAAACTGTGAACCGAAAAGTTTTTCCATTAAATCAATGAAGCGCACAAAATATTCGCGCCAACGATAATATCGAGTCAAGGGAACAACGCGCAACTCTATAAGTCATTGGCAATAAAAACAACAACAACAACAAGCAAAAGATTTGTTAGGTATTACCATATATGGTACAATATAATATAGTTTGTATAATATATGATTAATTGATGGTGATCTTGTGCAGCTAGTGTTAAGGGATATGCAGTGGACTGCATATGGTATGACTGACTGCACATAGCCTGCAGCCGATTTAGTTAGGTAGTTATATCAGCTCATAGATAGGGCTTTGTCTGTCTGTTTACGTGTGTGTATGTGCGTGTGTTTTATGTATGATGACAGCTCGATTTTTTCTGGTTTTTACACATTTTACAAACAAAAGTAAAAAATAGAAATGCACCAAAAGTTGCGGAAAACATTTGCGCCGAAAAAAAAGGGGAAACTAGGGAAAATGTAACGAGCTTTACCAACTGCAGAATACTCATTCAGAATACTCTTTCATTCATATTCTTCGTTTTGCCACGCCCCCAAGGGGTGCAAGCTTCTTCTTTGCTTTCTCAAGCAACTCAACTGCCATGTTGCTCGATTTGCCAAGCCCCTATTGGACGGCTCAAGAAAAATCTAGACACTCTCGAATTCGAGGGCATATAAGAATATGTGTATGATCAGATTTTCGAGCTTACAGACAACAGACGGACATTCATTCGGACAGACAGACATTGCACGAACCAATATACTCGTTTCACTTTTATGAATGAGTATAAAGCGAAGTGAAGTGAACAAAAAGCCAATTGGCTGCTGCAGTCACAGTCATAGGGTGCGAAAGGGATGTGGGCAGAGCTCTGTGTGTGTGTGTGTGTGTGTGAGTGCGTGTGTGTGTGTCGTGTACAAAGACAGACGTTGCAGCCGGACAACTGGACAGCTGCGAAGCTAGTCTGTGTTGCGCTAGGTGGACAGACGGACGGACGGAAAGACGAAAGGACGGACTCTGTGACAGTGGCGACGCAAAGGCAATGAATGGCCACATGACACAACATACGCTTCGTGTAAAAATTTTTGTCATAAATTTCGTTTGGCGGCCCCTTGGCCACTTTTTTCTCAGTGTGTGTGTACAGTCTTTTATTTCATTTCAGTTTTATTCATTTTACTAAGGCACCATGCACACAGGTATTTAAACATTTTTCGGGGTGCTAAAAGTGTTGGCAGAAAAACGGAATTATTAATTGAAGTTCGCATAAACTAATTGCGCAATTTGGCCAAAGCAAACAAACTGTTTTCCATGCAAATACAAAGAAAGCTAAGCTGAGAAAAACAAATAAATAAAACAAAGAATTGAGCGCGAATGCAGCTAAAATGCGACAGTTTGCACTATGATGTTAGACACATGAAAAGAGATCTAAAAATAAGCTAGTAATAAGGGAATAAGAAGAGATCGCACCACTAAACTGAAGCAGACCCACTTGAGCACATGTTGCAGAGGAGCCCTAGCAACGATGCTAAGTATTATTAGTTGAGCCATTGAAGAAGCTGCCTACATACATACATACATGCATGCATGCATGCATAAATATACATGTATGCATGTCTAATCAGCTCAGTCGCCCTCGCAGATGACTTTAATCCTTTTCGCTTTGCTTTCTCTTGAGCGCTTTGTGCAGAACTATTCGTGTGACGTTCTTTAAACGAACAGCAGAGAAAGAGAAAGAGAGAGACGATTGACGTTCACTCAGCGAGTCAATGCAAGCGGTCTCCACATACACACACACGCACAAGCCCACGCTCTGCTCACGAGTGCAATTGATATGCTTAGCAAAGCCTCACATACACACCAACACACACAACACACAAAGATATTTGCTTCATATCACTCAGCGAACAGCCTGAGCCACAGAGTGTGTGAGAGAGAGAGAGAGAGCACAAAATGAAACGGTTATGGGCCGATCGCAAGCGAAGTCAAAGAACCAATGCAAACGGTTGCGCTCACCGAGTCGGTACCCAGAGTGTGAGTAAACGATACTTGCCTATGCATTTATACTTCTGATGTATGCATGTATTGAATTTAGAAATAAAACATTGATGTACAATTTGAATTTAGTTTATTTGCACGTTTCGCATGGAACTACTACGAATGACTTTCCGAATAATGTATTTACTACTTGCTCTGCTTCACTCAGCACTGTGACTGCATTACAATAATCCCTCTTTCCTCAGCTTAGCCTGGAATGCAATGAAATGGTCAGCATGCAAAATGAGCTGTGTGAGCCTGAGTGATTGCTAAGGCTAACTCACCTGGCGAAGGTACCTGCGTCTTAGATTTTCGGACAGCACACAGTAGGCGATTGCGGCACGCTGTACGGCCTCCTGCTCAGGAACCATCCCGTTGCGAATTTTGTACTCGCGCAAGAAGTCGAGATATGTCTGAGAGCAATTCTGCTTTAGCTTGTTGGACTTGCTTGTCTTGATGCAAGTGGTGAGCTTGCGCTTCACGCCGGTGCAGTTGGTCTCCTTCTTGGCGTAAGATTTGGCCTTGCCAGATACGTTCTTTGGTTGGGTGGTTGCCCTCGGGGTAGCTGAAGGCTTACGATTGCACTCGAAAGTGAGTTTCCTGGTCATACGGATCTTGGGCACGGTTTTGACACACTTCCTCCCCTGCTTTGATTTGGATTTGCCATTGCGCTTCGATTTCTTCTGTATAATGGGTTTTTCGTAGATAGATATTGGAGTTGCAATCGCTTGGTTTCACACTATGCACTGTGCACTATGCACTAAGCACTTACCGCAGCCCCGGCCTTTGGCTTGACTGTCTGCTTCTTGGTGGCACGAGTTTTGGTCTTCATTGTCGGCTCTAATAAAGCCTTGTGCTAGGAATCTCGAATTGGATGCTTATAAATGGCAATTTGGGCGTACCAAAGAATTTAGCGCGCAGATAGATAACAAATTCGGTTTTCATAAAAGTCCGGAAAAACTAAAAATAAAATTTTTTTTATCAGCTCCTACAACAAGCGAGAATCAGAGTGACTGAATGAAATTTAAGGAGCTATAGCCCTTTGAAACTTTTAGTCAAAGCCTACTACGATTGATTCTTAAAACCATTTTTTGTACCCTTTCAGGAAGGTGTAAAGTGGAGAATGGAGTAAACTTAATCTATCCATGAGTATTTATTTATCTTATTTTTTTTTTATTTATCTCATTACAGAATTCATTTATTTATTATAGAGAATTAAAAAATATATAAATTTATTTCAGTTAGCATTAAAGTCGCCAAGTCAATCGGTGGAACCCATGGGAGTATCGATGCTTCATTCAATGTCATCGTTTATCGGTTATCATCTATAAAATTACATCTAAAAAATTTTGCTTTTTTCAATCAAAGTAGGCTTTGACGAGCTAAAAAGGGTATATAAGGAGCTCCCTCGAGCTATCATAATCATTTCGAAGCTGATTTCGTCGAGAAACAACTTAAACTTCTAAGACTCTCAAAATAAATAAATAAATAATAAAAAATATTTCTAAACAAAAATCG